CTTGTATGTGCGTTTGGTGTAATGAATAATGCCTCGGAAAGCAAAGTTCCAATTCCCGTTGGGTTCGTTTAAAATTCACTGACATGCAAATAGGCTTTGGGGAAATGGTATATATCCACGTCTTCTCCTCCTAGATAAGGGTTGATTATTAAGACTTGTATCACTAAATTATTATCTCAAAAAAAAAAAAAAAAAAAAAAAAAAAAAAAAAAAAAATTCTTACAATCTAAAAATATTTTCTGGGCTTAAATCACCTGAAAAGGGTTGATAAGCCGTAGAAAACGAATCAATCATCTCTTTTCTTCCCTGCTTTTAGTTAAATAGCAGCGAAAACTAGTCTGTTTAGCCTTGAGGCTGAAATATTCAAATCCAGCTTGAAGAGGGATGGGTTTCGTCAGACTCAATGCCTTAGACATACTACTACTATTGTTATGGCCGCATTACCTGTGGTGTATCTACAACGTTAATGTGTTCAAGGACACGCGTCGGGAAGCAGATTTGAATAAGCTCAAAGCCAAAAACAAGACAAACAAAATTGTGCCTAAAAATATGATGACCTGCAAAAATAAATAAGTAAATAAAATAAAAAAAATCTGAGGTTTACAATGAATTATTCCCATTATTTGATACAAGGATGACGTAACGGTTATCAGCACAGAAAGTGAAATAGCCGAGCAGAGTTCAAACTCCGATCGATTCTACTTTGTTCACTTCGCGCTAATACACTTTGGGGGAAAAAAGGCATGGATCCCCCTTCCTACAGCTATGTATTAAATAGCAGGGCAGACTTGGTTCTTTTGCCTTGAAAATCTGAATTAAAAAACAGCCGAAAGAGCAAGGCGATAATGCCACTAAGACGTAAGAAGTTCCTGGGAGTGAAAGAGAATAGGAAAACGTTAGAAGAAACTAGAAACTGAAGAGGAAACAAAGGATAAAACTATTCCTGTTCAAAGACCGGGGAGGAGTGTGAACGTGTTCTAGACACACCAGAGCTGCCAAGGCTGCACTGCTATACGCCTATCATAGGTTAAGGGACTCGTGGGGTATCGATATCCTATTGTCATAGGAATCTATGCTTCTAGTAAGACCCTTTATGCAAACCGCGTAACGAATATCGGTGCGGAATGTGGAACAGAATTCGATTTCCAGGCTAGTCTGTTGGGTTCACTTTCAAACAAATGCTGCTGGAAAATATGTCCCGTCTGGGCTCTTTAACTTTGGGTGGCATCTAATCGAAAAATTTCACCCCAAGCAAGGCCATAAAGCCACTAGGACGTAAGGGTTTACTGAGTGTTAACGAAATAAGAGAAAATACTATTAAGGATAGAGGACAATAAAAGAACAAGAATTAAGACAGAAGATAACGATTGACATTACGTTTAGATTTTTTTAATTTCAAACTTGCTTGGAAAACAAGCAGCAGGAAGAGTTTCTAAAGTGAGAAGTGCGATGGAAGAAACTGTTAGCATAGAACTTACGGTTATATCTAGCTATTTCAACTGTAAAATGACGAGACCTCACTGCCAATCTAGTACTGCGCTTAAATTCATAACGTCTAGGTACCATAGAGGAAAGTAATATTCATCCTGATAATACAAAAATGTGGCATAAGGCCAAAAGGTGGGTAGAGGAAGACTGGTATTCAATCTATCCTAAACTTAACTAGCCACAATTACTGACCCAAACATACCACAGTATTACTTGCACCAAAACACATTCTTACTTACTTAGAAAAGGCACAGGGAAGCTACGTTGCGGCGAAGGGAAAGAGACTGAAGCCGAGATGCTAGATCAGGACCAATAACATTGCAGATTCTTATCTGGATTTTATCAAGAAGCTCTAAATATATAGCAAGAGCACCAGACCATATGTGCCAGCAATATTTAAAGCAAGGATGAATGGTAGAGTTATAAATATGAAAGATAGATTCTTCTTTGGATTTTATCAAGAATCTCTAAATAAATAGCAGAAGCACCAGACCAGATATGGCAACAATATTTAAAGCAAGGAGGAATGGTTATACTTATAAATTCTGTCGAGAAAAATTTTTTAGCGCGACAACTTGCCTGGCTGCCAAGTCAACATCCAGGAAAGTTGGAATATACGACAATTCACAGATATTACGTATAGAAAGCAAGAGGAAACCAGTCTACTATATTTCTCCAATAAATCATAATAATTCACAGATAATAAAGAAATCTATGACGACTTGTGATCGCCTACGTCACGAAGGGATCGAACATTAACCCCCCCCTCCCAGCAAAAAAAAAAAAAAACGAACTCGTCTTTGTTGTTTTCATTTTTTATATTTTGTTTTCGCACACCTGGTTTGTGTCGTCTGAAATTCTAAGATGAACTGCCGTTATTCCGTGTATAACTCGAACGAGTATAGTAATTTTTATGAGTACGAGTATCCTATCATTTTAGCTTAGTTTGACACCCATTGGGGACCGAATTGAACGTTCATTAGTAATGATCAATTAGACCAACTCGCTAACCATTACACCATACCGAGGGGCTGTGGTCGTGCAAGATCTGTCCAAAATTGTGAGATGACGTGGTCTAATTATTTCACAAATAACTCAAGACACGCATTCTTATCGTTATTGTTTAGTTTTGTTCGTAATTCCGCTATGAAGGATTGTCGTAATTCTATGAATGCTCAAGTTTTTGGCTTTCATTACATAGTAATCAACTCAAGTGGCAGGCACGTAGTTATCAGAACAATGCCAGTAGATGGATTAGAGTTAAATGTCAATGTATGAGCCGCAGGAATTTCCATAGCCAAGGTAGAACTTAATATCTATGCTGATGACACAACCACTTACATCTGTCTCAATAGTAAGTCAAATCAATCAGCTCGATTAGGTCAAATTGATAGCTGATCTCAAAAACGACCTAGAGTCTGTTAACTGGGGCAAGGAATGGCTTGTTAATTTTAATGCCTGCAAAACGACTTCTACCTATTAATCGCCTGAAATACCGCTTCCTGCTTTCCATCAGCATGGTTGATGGAAACCTCCATGAGAGTGAATTATTGCGCCTTCTCGAACTAAAATGAGGTGGAAAGATTATACCGAATCCATTGCTAGGTCTGCTGCTAGGAAAGTTGGTTCCCTGTTTCGTGCTCGACAATTAATCTATCTTACATAGTTATATGTCTACCATTCGTCCATGTCTTGAATATTGCTGCCACATATGGTCCGGTGCTCCTGCTGTATATTTAAAGATTCTTGATCAAATATAAAGAATAAGCAATATTATTGGTCCTGACCTGGCGTCTCGACTTCAGTCATTTTCCCACCACCGTAATGTAGCTTACCTGTGCCTTTACAATAACTAATTTCATGGTAATTGTTCTGGTGAGCTCTTCGCTATGGTATTTAGATTTTACGAATTTAAGCGCAGTACTAGATTGGCGGCGAGGTCTTATCAATTCACAGTTAAATTGGATAGATGTAACGGTAAATTCTATTCTAAGAGTTTTTCTCGCATTTCTCGATTGTGGAACTCTTTTTCCAGCCAACCTTGATCTTCAAAAATTTAAATGTAATGTCGATCGTTATCTACTTGATTTCTCTTTTATTGTTCTCGCTCCTTAATAAGGTTTCACTTTTTTTCTTATTCTTTCACACTAAGTAACCTATTGCGTCTTAGTGGCTTTATTGCTTTGTTTAAATGAGATTAAAATGATTGTTCCATATGAAATAGCAAACTCCCGTGGTATGAAGATATGAGTTATAGTTTTCTTTGTGGATACTCTTTGGTACTGGATTACGATTGTTTAATTTGAAGAAAGATGATTAAAACTTTTGAAGAAAAGCAAAAAAAAAAAAAAATGACTGACTTCATCCTAGCATAACCATCGAGTCCCCCGCCACAAAGAGTTTCATCTATCCAATTTCACTCACAACTAGTTGTATGGTTTTCAGGCACTATCCAATGACTTGATATGAAGAAATCACCTTCCTGACAAATCGACCATGGTGAGATTTCTCAGTCAGAAAGCGAGCGTCCTAACCACGTGCCCATTAGAGTCACATATAACGACGACCTTAAGATACTACCAACGTACAAAATCGTGAAAATGCTTTAGTAACGCGAGATGCGAAGCCAGTTACTTATTCAGAAAAGATCTCTCGTTACTGTATCGAAACTTTTATTCTGATAGCCCGATAAAGATCAATTATTTTTTCTTTTTACAAGTAGATTTACAATGACTGTCTCAGTTTTATGCCAATCATTTTCATGTTATCACTGATATCAACAGAACTCGACCAGAAGACATTCAATAGTCATTTCACAGACAGCCATTTTACTGAAACGGTGATAGAATTAAAACCTTTACTAAAGGAAGATAGTGTTCAGGCGAGCTGCACAAAATTGATTGCGCAGAGAAAAAGTCTAATTACCATAATTCTATCCTCAAAGAAAAGCCAGTGTCTTAATTAGTTTTCTGTTTAATGAGTTTGTTCATTTCTGAGCAAAATATTTGCATTCGTCTTTTTTTTGTTGTTGGTGTTGTTAATTCAGAAAAAAAGTAAACAACATTATATTTGTAATTGTAATTGGTCTGTTAGACTGCTTTAATTAGTCAACAATGAAAAGAAACCTTTCCATTTTATTCTGACATCAATATTTGCCAAACACATTTTAATGTTTTTGACACAAATAAATAAAATAAAAAAAGATAAGAGCACGAAAATTTCAAGTTAAATTCAGATTGGGAAAAACAAACAATAAAAGATCATGAGAATTAAGTGATTGAAGAATAGCAAAAACCTAACAGGGGAATCAACGGCGCAACTTGGTCATTTAGTAGACAATACATATCTTTAAAAGTATATAATTTGAAAACATTGACCTCTTAAGTTTTTAAAAACTATATTTAAAAAGGTACCTGTCCGCATAGGCAGGAGACGGTAGAGTTTATAGTGTATAGCAAATGTTTGTAACCCCCGTCACTATTATATTGTTGCCTGACTGTGTCGCCTTGTTT